TCTTGTCCTGGCTCTATCGAGCTACTGTGGCACGGCACTTTGGAAAAGGAAGGGATATTTTGAGGATATGTTCCACCTAGAAACAGGACAGTGGCTCTCAGTATCACAACTTGTTTTGGAACACCCAGAACCAGTACACAAGCCAAAGAGGCACCACCACAGGAGCACAAGTTTGTACCGGTATGTCCATAGATCTATAATTTTTATTGTCTCATATATATTTATAATATATTTATATATTTTTAAAAGAATCCCTTCAAAAACTACCCTCCCACCTAGCAAAACGAAGATTAAACAATCCGAGATGGCAGCTGCATCCCGGAGCAAAGTATCCCAGGGGTCTCAGAGAGCCAAAGCGACTGCGGAGCACCAGGGCACTCCTCCCGAGCTTCTGCGGTGCCCTGCGGGTGGCAAAGGTGGCTGACACAGTTTTATGGACCTGTCGAAAGACAGGGAGAGAGGAGGAGAGAAACACACGGCGACGGGGGCTCGGGGGGCCGGGGAAACAGCAAGGCAAGCAACTGGGAGCTTAGTGTGAAATGCTGTGATGAAGAGGAGGGAGGCACCGCCTGGGAAGCGTCGGTGAAGAAGACAGGAAAGAGGACAGACATGCAGGAGAACTAGCTGGCAAGATGGATCTCAGAGAAGAGCTCAGAAGCATCACACTTGGGACCCTTGCTACCCCTCCATCCCCCAAACCTCTTCCTCTCACCCTCCCAGTTGTGAAGGGAGATCCAATTAGTTTGATTTAGACCAAATCTTTGCACTGCCCCGGAGCCTGTGGAGAAAGAAGGAAAAAAAAAAAGAAAATTCAGAGTGGACACTCAGGCTCATCCTTGACTTCCTGTTCTAAATGCAGGCCAAGAAGGGCAGCTGATGTTCTTCGCAAGAGGAGAACACAAGGCTTATGAACTCTGCTTGGTGTCAAAAGCTGCAGAGATTTTCCCTCAAGTTGGCAGGGGGAAAACTCAGCGGGAACCATCTGATGTCAGAGAACATCAGAGATGTTGATCCCAATGATGAGGCCAACCTCTCTGACCATCCCCTGCCCAGGGAGCAAACCTCACTGTCCTGGAACAGGGCGCCCCTCAGGAACCCCCCGAGCTTCGCCCCCACTCCTCACCCTTTGGCTTTGGAAGTTTTCTTGCTCGCCTGGCGCTGGTTGGTGCCCGGGGCCGGCTCCCTGAGCTCTGTTAGGTGCTGCTCCGGGTCTTGGGATGTGGCTGCTGCAGCGGCTGCTGTTGTCACTTTAATGGTCTTCTTCAGGTTTGCCACCTGCAACAGCACAAAAGCAAGAACCAAGGAATTTCCCAGTTTTTAGCTTGGATTTTTTTTTTGTGTTGGGTTTGGTTTTGGTTTTTTTAAAGCAAGTCCTGGAGTTAAGAGCTGCAAGCTCAGGTCGAACAAAAGAGCTAACAGCTGCCCAGACCTCTGCACTGCAGAGGAGTGTTTTGCTGACTCAGGACTCTTCTTCAGGCACAACCCACCACTGCCTGGTGGGTCTGGCCCAGGGAAAAGGTTTGCTGACTTGAGCAAAGACCGTAACAACCACAGGGTACTGGTTCTGGTCGTTTTTGAGCGAGACGCACCAGCAGCTCCCTCCTTGGCACACTCACCTCGCTCTCTATCTGCTGCTTGAGCGCCAGCTGCTGCTCTTTGTGCTGGTTGGCACGGCTGACCTGCTCCTCGATGCCCGACAAGACCACCTCGCAGCCCTGGCACCTGGAGAGAAAGTGAAAGGACTGAACACGCCAGGTAATTCACACCGCAGAGGAAGAAACAGGAAAGGTGACAGCTTTCAACTCCAAAGGCCAAAAAGACTGGAAGGTGACAGCTACACCAGACAGGGAAGACACGGGAGCAGGAGTCCCACGTAATCATGTAGCGACATTATCACCTGGGAGGGGGACAAATAACAAGTGACACTGGGTCAGGAACTACAGATATCTACTCAGAAAGCCTCCTGTGGAAAGCTCACGGCGGGTTCATCACCCCTCCAGCAGCAAAGAGAGCAATTAGGAAAATTACTTTTGGAAAATTACTTTCTGTTGGAATATGGAAAAGGGGACTGAGCAGGCCACCTCCCAACACTACCCCGCAGCGACACATCAAGAAAAGCCACTGGCTGCTCCTGCAAGCTTTTTTTTTTTGGGGTGTTAGTCCTGGGGGCTTCCTCCTCACCACTCCTGCAGTGTTCGGGTGATGGTGCTCAGCTCCTCCCTCCGGATGTCCCTCCCGATGCTGTAATCCACCTCCAGGCGCTGGTTCCGCTGATCCAAGCTCCCTCGCAGCACGTCTGCGTACACGGCCTCGATCACCAGGTCCTCCAGCTGCCGGACGTTCTTCAGCTGCAGCTGCTCCAGCAGCACAGAGTAGGGGATGCACTGTGGAGACACGACAGTAACTCGCAGGAGGCAATCCCAGTGGAACTGGGGAGCCTGGGGAAAAGCAGGACCAGTACCTTGATCTTGGCCGCCAGCGTAACAACTGACAGGTGCCTCAGTTTGTTCTTCTGAGCCTCTGTCAAGGGAGGGAGGTTTGCAGCTTCAGCTGTTGTTGGGAAAAGAACAGGGAATAAGAATTTACACCTCATTTTCCATTTCCCAGCCCTGCACGGACACATCTGCACCATGCCCGTTTCTCAAAGCTCCTGCCCACCAACCCCCCAAGCGATGCCCGTCTCGCCACGCCACCGCTGTTAATTCCCAGCCCAAAAGACCTTTTCCCAGCAGCTTTCCATCCCCTCAGCCTCATGCCAGCCTCTCTAGCTGCCCCGTGCCTTATTCACGGAGCTCTGCACATCCCAGAGGACACCTCAGCCTTTCCCCTCACCCCTCAAACACGTCTTTGTCCAGATGTTCCTGGGGATCCCTCACATCTTTCCCCTCAAAAACATCTTTGTCTAGATGTTCCTGGGGATCCCCCACACCTTTCCCCTCAAAAACGTCTTTGTCCAGATGTTCCTGGGGATCCCCCACATCTGTCCCCTCAAAAACATCTTTGTCCAGATGTTCCTGGGGATCCCCCACACCTTTCCCCTCAAAAACATCTTTGTCCAGATGTTCCCAGGGATCCCCCACACCTTTCCCCTCAAAAACATCTTTGTCCAGATGTTCCTGGGGATCCCCCACGCCTTTCCCCTCGCCCCTCAAAAACACCTTTATCCAGATGTTCCCAGGGATCCCCCACACCTTTCCCCTCAGAAACATCTTTGTCCAGATGTTCCCAGGGATCCCCCACGCCTTTCCCCTCAAAAACGTCTTTGTACAGATGTTCTCGGGGATCCCCCATGCCTTTCCCCTCAAACATGTCTTTGTCCAGATGTTCCCGGGGATCCCCCA